TGATTTTTTAGTCTAACTTTGTTAATTTTTCGCTGTCTATCCAATGGTGTGCTCGGTAGCACCATAACCTTCTGGAAATCACCATTTTTCCCCTAGGACAAAAGTTATCCGTTTTTAAAACGCCGCTTCCCATTTTTGTTTTCTTTTAAGTTCCGTGGCTTCATGGGAAGCCATGTTTGTGTCTTAGAGATAATGTACATCTCTTGAGACTTTGGGAAGCCATGCTTGTGTCTTAGAGATAACGTATATCTCTTGAGACTTTGTTTGCATGTGAAATGACTATTTTGCCCTTAGGGGCATACTTGGTCTATTTTCACCGTTTTGCTTCCGTATTTGTTTTCTTTTGGTTCCATGGCTTAATGGAAAACCATGTTTATGTCTTAGGGATACCGAATATCCCTATAAACTTTGTGTTTTGTTTTTGCTTCCGCATTTCGGATCCTTTATCAGATTAACTTTCGGGTCACATTGACATATCCGGGTTTGTGAAAATTCGGAACGTCACAGGTGGTAGTATAGATCCTCACTAGTGAGGATCTAAGTATTGTCCTATATATATATATAGAGAATGGTGATTACTTATGCTACGTTTGATGTACAAGAATGGAATGGAATGCCCATTCCAAATATTCCTTTGTTTGGTGTGCATGAATAGAATAGAATGACCATTCCATTGGAATGAAAATCCATTCCACAACTAAACCTATTGAATGACCATTCTATTCCAAATAATTTTTTTATAAAATTCAATTTCCCAAAAAAACCCTCACGTTTTAAGCCCAAAAACCACTATTACCTTCCACCACAACCACCTCCGCCTTACTCATCACCACCACTACCACTGTCTTCCACTACCACCACCACTTTCCACAACCACCACCGCCACCGCCTTTCACCACCGTTACTGCCACCGTTACTGCCACCGTTTTCCACAACAATCGCCGCCAACTTTCACCACCGCTTCTGCCACCACCTTCCACCACCACCACCATTGTCATTGCCTTTCACCACCTTCCATTACCACCGCCGCCATCGACTTTCACCACTGCCACTACCTTTCACCACCACCACCGTCTTTTACTACCACTACCACCGCCATCGCCTTACACCAACACCACCACCGCTGCCTTCCACCACCACCACCGCCGCTGCCTTCCACCACCTTCCATCACCACCACCGCCACCACTGCCTTCCACCACCACCATTGCCTTCCACTACCACCATCGTCACCACCTTCCACCATCGCCACCTCCACTGCTTTCCACCACTATCATAGTCACACCACTATCTCCTTCCACCACAACCACCACACTACTGCCACCACCTTCCACCAACAGCATTGCCACCTTCCACTACCATCGCCACCTTTTAACACCACCACTTACATCACTACCGCTTTCCACCATCCACTACCGCCACCATTTATTTTTAAAAATTATTAGAGAATGTCATTTTGTTAATTTGATTTATTTTTTACTAAAAGGGATATTTTGGAGAATTCAATTAGAAATTTATTCAATTCTAAATTTTAAATTGTGATACCCCTCGATTCTAGAGTCACGGGTGATCAAGTCCGAGTACAGAATACAAGAGATATCATACAATTAATATTTAAACAAGCATTTGAATACAAAAAGAATAATAAATAAATAAGAAGCTGAAGGAAACTAAACATTAAATCCTTAAATAAATAATTATTAAAATCCTATAATAAAATCCTCCAATCCTCTGATACCAGAAATTAATTAAACTACAACTTGGGAATCCATACTGTGGACCCCTAATAATAACCTAACTGAAATAATTGAATCGAAATAAAAATAATAAATAAATCATGAAGAAGAGTCATACGTAGAGTCGGAAGAGTGAATGATTGTCTCTGCTCAGTACGAACAATCTCTAAGACTGGAACTGACAAACACCTGAAAAATAATGGTGGGTCAGGCCCACATACAAGTTCTATTCTACTACATCTCAAACAGAGACCCGATACATGTACACATCCTAATTAATTCAATAATAACTAAATAGTCCATATATAGATATATGCACACTGAAGGAACCTCATTAGACTATAGAGTTGTCTCAACCTGAATAGTAGGCAACATGCAAAACGCACATAAAGTGGGTATGAGTACCTAGACCTACCAGGGTACACAACTACACTATATCTAGTTACATATCCCTCGCAATATACACACCCTAATCACTGATCTTGAGACTCAAGCTCATATCATGGCGTATAATTATATATGTAAAATCCGTCCTATCCAACCATCAAAATAATCTATCCAATTATTATTTAATAATAATATGTCATCCAACTATTCCGTTGACCTGACACAAATAAGTAGGACTTAACACTATAGTTAATCCATTCCCTTATTAAAAATAGGTAGGACTTAACTCTTAAGTTAATCCGTCCCTAATATGCCCCCATCCCATAATGGTGCATTAATCCATATCATAATCAAATAAAAGTTTCAAATCCAAGAATAATGTCAATAATGTTTACATATAACAATCCAAATAAATATGATATAAATCATATACACATCCTTTGCATTTACTTGAGCAAAAATATAAATTCCAAATAGCATACATTTAATTTACATCACAAGAAATTAACATACATCTTAACTAAATTGTACATCTCCATATTCTGATCAAATTAATTTAAATCTAAACAATTGATTTAAAAAAATTTAATCCTATCATATTTAATTAATTTAACCTTTTTAATTAATTAAAACCCACACTTAGCCTGTACTTTAAATTGTGCTTTTAAAATCCTTCATACACAAAATTGTTTTAAACAATTAAAATAAACCACTCCTTCCTTAAATATCATGGCAGTAAATTGTAACTTTATAATAACCCAAGTTTCTATCATGTTATATTAGGCATGCCAACCCATAACGAATTTAATTTAGCCAATTTAAAATATTTAAAACTGGTCCCAAAATATCAAACAGTGTAAGAAACCCATAAAATTCCTCTCACAGCTAAATCGCCCCTTATGGGTTGATGCATCAAATTCCCAAAACATGCCAGAATTTTACAAACCCAGATACAATATCTATACATGCTAGAATTTTATAAACCCATACACAATATCTATACACGGAAAATTTTAGATTTTAATATACAAATAGGTTTATTTAATTTAATTAGATCATCTTGGAATTAATTAAAGTATGTATAGAATACAAGTCAAAGGAGAAGAGTAAGAAAATAAACTTGCCTTAAAGATTTTCAGATTGAAAACCCAATTATTTTCTCTGCTTTCTCCCCTAAATCCGGCGACACCCAATTCTCTTCCTTCTCTCTTTTTCTCTTTCTTTTCTTCTCTTTTCTCCCTTTTTCTCTCGGAGTATCAGCTTAGGACGATCATCCTTTCGTCCTTCCGATCCCACTCCTTGATAGTGTCTTTCTGAGGTGAGACAGTTAGAAAAAACTGACTTTCTCACTGGCGCCGCTCTCTGCTATTGTTCTCTGTTTCGTGACTTCCTCTCTCCCCAGACTTATATCACTTTACATATATACATATAAATAATATATAATCCTAACCCTAGTCAACATAATAACAAACCTAGCCCAACCTAATTACCCGTCAATTACAAGTCACAGACATGTCAAACTAATGATACAAAGTTTTCATATAATAATAATAAAAACAAACATCCTAATTCTATTATAAGACATGGCCTCCATACAGACCTAAAGCATCTAATACTAAAGGACAAATTTGATTCCTAAAAGTTATTAATATAACACTTGAATAAACAAAAATATAAACCATAATAATAAAGATATAATAACTAACTGTGTAGTATATACCTTAATTAGTATTTCATGATTTCATCCTTGAATATATCCATGTATATAAATATATATATATATAAACTATACTAATAAAACTTAAGAAATAAAATACCCATAAATATATACATATATATACCCATATATATATATGTACACAATCCATAGGTAATTATCCGTACTCATTATCCCTTCTATCCAAGTAATCCATGGGGCCTAACAATTAGCTAAGAAACAAATAAATAATTAAAATGCAATTAAAGTAATTAAAATACTATCGACACTATCCTTTTGAAATTAAGGGTATTACATAAATTGATCCAACCAAATAATAGAATGGTTATTATCATTCCATTCTTACCCATTTTATATTTACAACCAAACAATGGAATATTATTGTTTGAGGGTGGGGAGTTTTTTTGTTTCTTTGGTAAAATTAGTTTAGGAAATTTTAAATGAGGAAAATAGTGATTTTGTTGGATTACAAAAGGAAAATAGATCAACACAAATATATAGTTGTGTTAATTGATATAATTGAGCAATTAGAGTTGGAACGGGAATTAAACAGAGCTTAGTTTTTAAAGTTGGATGGATTGGAGTCGGGTTAGGGTTGAAGATCTCGTAACTCTAATTAAAACCCTAGTTGAACGGCACTTGCATCCCTATTTATATTTTGTGTGCTCTTGACGGCTGAAATCCGAACAATTGAAAGGAATAAAACACAGTATTCAATTTCAGTAGCAGTAAAGGTGAAAAGGCTCCCCTGTATGTCGTCCATTGGACCCAGAAGATCACCTCGACTCGCTTAGCTAAAAGAGGTCTCTATCATATCATTCATATATATATATATATATATATATATATATATATATATATATATATATATAATTTCAACAGAAACTTTGTTAATGCATGTGAATTATTTATATATACAAATAATTTTTTATTTTCTTTCCCGCAACTAATTGTAAAATTTGCTAACAAAAAGACTAGTGTCTTTTTGGTGGATTTTTTATTTTACTTTTTAAAATTCTATAATCTTTTGAAATTGATCACATTAATTTGGTTATATATATATATATATTCTTTAAATTGTTTTTGAAGTTGCGGTTTTTCTTCTAATGCTTTTAAAAATTGCAGAAAGCTGTAGTCAGTTGCTCTTTCATATAGAAGAAAGATGACGAGAAGCAGCACACCTTTTCTTCCTGAAGGAATCATATTCGACATCCTGGTTTTCCTTCCTGCTGAGATTCTGCACAATGTGATGAGATGTGTTTGCCGAGGGTGGTACAATGTTATCAACAGCCCTGAATTCATTAGTGCACACCTTCAAAAATCAACTAATGGCTTCCTCATCCAATCCTGGAATCGTCCAAATGTGATTGATTTTGTGGAGATCATAAACGTTTCCGGTGTTCGGATAAGAGAATTAAGATACGAGTTCCGTCATCCTATTTGTGCTAGTTGTGATGGCTTAGTATTGTTCAAGCACGACAGTAATGATTTAATATTTTGTGTTGCAAATCTTATTACCAACCAAATACTGACCCTCCCTCCTTTATCTGAACCTATTAGAAATGATCTTTGTACTTTGGTATATGGTCATTCTATCAAGAGATACAAAGTAGTCTTCCTAGACTATACGAATGTTGATTTAATGTGTGCAAACTTCACTGTGGGTACTGATACCGAATGGAGACCGATTGATACTAAACATATTCCAAATACTAACTGGAATTATTCTTTTTCAGCATTTTCAGCACCATTGTCCGCTGGAGGATATCTTTATTGGACCCCTCGTTTTAGAGAAACTTTTCTTCTAGTTTTGGATGTTGAAGCTGAAATATTGCACCGTCTTCCATTTCCAAAGGTGTTGAATAAAAAAAAGAGTTATTTTATGGTAAGGGAAAGCTTTCTAGTTTTGATGGTTAGAATAGAGAAATTTTTGTGGGAAGTTTTGGTGTTGACAGAATTAAACAAGGGAGAGTGGACAAGGCTTTATAACATTGACTTGACAGGTCAAAGTGGCATGCTTAGTCAACACCAGAATTGGTCTTTAGAATGCTATTTGTTTCCTCTTGCCTGGTTAAAAAATGGAGAGTTGGTGATCTTTCGTATTTCAGATACACCGAGAATTTACGTTCTTTATAACATCAAGACAAAAGAAGTTTCTTCATTCTCAATAAACAAAAATTTCAGATCCTACCATGCTCATGCCAACAGCTTGGTTTCATTGAAGGTATGCTAGTTTTCCTTTTCCCTAGCAAACTAGTCTGCAATTGGGAATTTGCTATCTACACTTCACCCATCGGAGAGTTCTATATTGTTCATCAACATCAGGATAGAAGGGTTAGTCTGCCTATTACGAGTTTGTTTTGTTCGAAAGACTGACAATTTGCTATTCTTGTTGTTTAAGTAGATATTTAATTTTTAGAATAGCATTATATAAATTTTATTACTTTTCATTTATGCTAAATTCCGTACCTGTTATCTTGATGGTTGTGCGAAAATCCCTTTGCAATTCCCTGGACATTTATACTTTGTTCTATGATCTTTTGTGTTCGGCCAGTTTCTATTTGGAATGCTGTAATTTCTTTACCTTTTAAAAATACATCCACACTATAAAATTGAACTCCAACTTTAAGGAATAATTTTGTTATTTCAGTAATTAACGGCAAAAATGGATGTGAATTCTTAAGTTTTACCAACTTTAAGTTTTAGTCTCTGTAGAGGCAAAACAAGATGTATGAGTTTCTGGCCAAGGTAAATAAATAAATAAAAATTTACTTTCATTTCCTTCTTCTACAATAAGAAAATAGCAAGCTAAAATTAAACTTTGGATGGATGGATTTAAGAGAAGAAATGTGTGATAGAAGTAGAGCACGGAGGGTAGGTAGTTGCACCTCATGCACCTGTGTTGAAATGTTTAATGGACCTGTCCACCTTTATTTCGGTGGCTTTGGGGATTTCAAGACTGGTTAGAAGAAGCAAGAAAAAAATGTCTAATGGTTTCATGTCACCAGTTCATGTTAAAAAAGAGTAAACTTCAAGCCTTAAATGCTGATGGATATTGGTCAACTGCACTTTGATTAAAATCTGATGCTATCATTCTAAAATTTTAAGAGTCTAATTTTGAGAAAAAAAATGTCACTCACCAAGACAAACATGTACCTCTGTATTCTCATCTGCAGTTTCTCTCTCCGTCGCAAATAACCGCCTCTTTGTAACATATTGAAGTAGTTTTCCTGCAATATAATCCACATTCCTTCCCTGCACCATACTTTCTCTTCAGTCGAGCAAATCTGGATCACTACATCTCCGTTTCTCTCTCTCTCTCCTCCTCTCCTTTCTTTATCTCTCATCGCTCGAGTTCAACTCATGAAATCAAGTCTGGAGAGTTGGCGGCTTTCACTGTGCTCAGACCTTTGACTGCTTGGTCACATTCTCACGATGAATCTTTCTTTCTTTGTTTAACAATACCTTCTTCATTTCCATGTCCATCGTCAAGAAACTTGTGCCAACCAAGAATTCTGTGTCTGCATACTAATGAAATTACAGCCTATTTACATGGTTCAGCATAGTGTAAGTCCACAGTGAAAATCTTGTAAATAATATATTATACAAAAAAAAAAAAAAAAAAAAAAAAAAAAAAACCCCTCTCTAGCTCCCTATCTAAACTGCGGCTTTCATTGTTCTCTGATGCCATACTTCAAACTCTAAAGACGTATATAATGGATTTTAGAAGAAAGTCCTAAAATTGAGTTCATGACGTGACAAAATTGTTGTGATGTGGGCCAAAATATAATTAAGGCCACAACTTTACATAGGCATTTGTAATGGCAATACTAGATCACTTGTAGAAACTAATACAGGCAACAATTTCATGAAGACCAAAATAGAAAATGTTACTGGCACATCCTTTTCACAGAATCCGCAATTAGGGACTGTTCCTCTACATGCAAGCACGACTTGGGATCCTTTGCAGTGTGCGCCAACGCATCCCAACACATAGACACCTGAATTCTCACATGTGAAGAGTTGAGATCCGTCAAATACCATACAATAAGACCATACCAAGTATAGGATCCCATCTTACAAAGATGTTATATTTTTGTATTTGTCACCTTGAAATTACCTATATTAGTGGGCCTAAGCCAGTGTAGGCCCAGGGGCATGTGTCCCCCTTGGGTTAGTCTCGCCCACAATATATATATATACAAGGGTGGATTCGAGGGTGGGCTTGTTGGGCTCAAGCCCTCTTCAAAAAAAAAAAAAAAAAATGATTCTATTACTATAGTCAATTTTAGCCCAGCGAAAAGAAAAAAATTTATTACTAGTATTAGCCCACCTAAATATTAGTTCATCTTATTAACAATTCTTGGATCCGGCCTTATATATATACTTTTATTTTCTAATCTATATATCTATCTATATATATATATATATATATAAGTTTTTGATTGTTCTAATATGATATGTTTTTGTTCAAAACAGTACTTTTAGATATATATATATATATATATATATATATATATATATATATATATATAATGCATGTGAATTGTTCGATGAAATACCTCAAAAGAATTACGGATGGAAGAATATATATATATTTTTTCCCTGCATAGCTATTATACTACAAATTGTAAAGTGTGCTCTAAGAAAAACAGTAGAGTCTTCTTGGTAGATTTTTATTTTATTTTTTATAATTATATAATCTTTTGAAATTGATCACATTAATTTGGTTATATACATATTATATTTAAATTGTTTTTGAAGTTACAGTTTTTCTTTTAATGCTTTTAAAATTGTAGAAGGCTGGAGTCAATTGTATCTCATAGAAATTTAAGGCAGTTGCTTGTTCAAGTAGAAGAAATACTACGAGAAGCAGCATGCTATTTCTTCCTGAAGGGATCATATTCGACATCCTGGTTTGCACAATGTAATGAGATATGGTTGCTTCCTACTGAGGCTATGGGGCACCTGCACCTTGGGCCAACCCCGCCTACTATATATGTACTTTTATTTCCTAATTTTAATATATATATATATATATATATATATATATATATATATATATATATATATATAATGAAGCATACAAAATAGAAACTTTAGGCAAAAATTAGAGTAGGTCACGCTAAGAATTTCTTGTGGGTTTATAGACAAACGTGTTCTTCTCCCCAAGAAGATAAACATGATATATTTACTTTCTCTAACAGTAGGATTAGATTATAATAAGACTATAAAAGTGAGAATATTATTCCTTACTCAATATCCCTAGAGAGCTTCTGAGGAAGCAGTTGAACAAGAGAGACTTATTAATTATATATAGAGAGACTATTACTTATCGTGTTAATTTTTGTTTGGTAATATTAGTTTAGGAAACATCTAAGTAAGGAAAATAGATACAATAGTGGTTTTGTTAGATTATGGAGAATGATGTGATTGTAATATGACCGTAACAATAAATCCCATGAATACCATAAAATATCTTGTTACACGGTGATCACACTCATATATATGTATATATTACTAATAATGTTATATAATAATTGAGCAATTAAAGTTAAGAACCTAAATTACATAATGCGAGACCAAGAGCGAGTTCGTGAAAATCGCAAAATCTAAAATTAGTTAAAAGGGAGTGTCTTAAGAGCGCCGGTATATTACATATATTATATATTTATATAATTATTTTATTTGAAATATGATTTTATTAAGGGCTGCAAATTAAGCCCATGATACTTATTATATTATTGGCCCAATTAATATTTTAATGTCTATAAATTCATCTTATTAACTAAAGAGCCCAATAACCCAACTCATAGTTTAATCACAACCATTGGATTGATTTCCTACTTAAGAGTTAGAGAGAACCCTAAAAATCCTCGCCTCAAGGAGCTCCGCCTCTTTCAACACTTAACCGTCTGAAGCCACCCCATATGGCCAAAGAAAGGGCCTCATCTGAGATCATACCGCTGCTAACACTTTTCCTTCGGCAACCAGTTTGAAACAAAAATTCCCAAACTCCATCTTCAACAACAGGATCCACAACCGCTGCAACTCCCTTTCTAAGGCTATCACTCTGCAATGGAAACCCTAAACTCCATATGCGAAGAGAATGTTACCTTGCTCTCTTTCTGATACGATAACTAAGGCAACTATAGATCGATGGTCATCTCTGTGAAGAAAAAGGTCTGTGAATTCTGTGATTTTGTGTGTATTCGCGAATTCTCAAAATCGAGTTCACGAATTTATGCCGTTTTCACTCTCAAATCGCAAATACACGTGCGGAGCTCTAATTCGTCACCTAGTTGAACGAATGGTGTGACTTAGATTAAAACTGGAATTGAACCAAGCTTAATTTTTAAAGATGGATGGATTGGAGTCGGGTAATCGTGTGACTAAGGTTAAAACCGGAATTGAACCAAGCTTAATTTTTAAAGTTGGATGGATTGGAGTCGGGTTAGGGTTGAAGATCCTGTACCTATAATTAAACCCGAGTTGGGCCTCTAAGCCGCACTTGATCCCCATTTTGCATGCTCCTGAAGGCCGAAATCCAAACAATGATTTTTAACAACGGTGGAAAACTGAAAACTCTTTCCACCACGGTCCAAAACCGTGGTGGTATCAGCCATGGTAGTATATTGATAATTTTTTACCACAGTTCTTTACTGTGGTAGAAAGTGTGTTTTCTATTATAAAGAATCATCGTAGAAAATCTATATATATATATATATATATCTTAAAAAAAATTACTGTAGCCCCAAACTAAGAAGGCATTATTATTATTATTATTTATTTATTTATTTATTTTTAACAATATAGCCTCGCAAGTACTAAACAGAAGCAAACCCTAAATGAATCAAAAATAGCATTATAACCCAAAACAACTTACAACGGGTCAATAACATCATAACCAATTTCGAAGCATGGTTTATACAAAAATTAATCATATACAAATGTCAATTCAAAGAACATATTTATAACAAGAAAAGTGGTTTAATAAGTCAAAAGGCATACTGTGACAAATAGAATCAACATCGGGCCAATGAAGTACATGATCCACCTCAATATTGAAAGGAATCAAATAGAGTATCCAATTTCAGTAGCAGTAAAGGTGAAAAGGCTTCGACCCAGAAGATCAGCTCAACTCGCTCAGCTAAAAGAGGCAACTCTCTATCATGTCATGTCATATACATAATTTCAACAGAATCTTTAACAATATATATATATATATATATA